GCAAAAACGGGTAGATTTTCAGACGACATCACTGTTAAAGCATGCTTAACTCGAACGGAAAGTAGTCAAAAGCTGCTTCTTTTTACTTTTGGAAAATCCCGAAAGTAAAAAGAAGCGGCTTTTGACTACTTTCTGTTCAGGTTAAGCACACTTTAATAGCAATGTGTGTGAAAATCTATCCGCTTTTGTAGGTTTTCCCCACCTTTTAAATCCCATTTCTGCATGGGATTTCCCCCATGTGATAAAGTCCATAGATATTCTTCCTCTAAGTTGCAAGTTCCATGTGGCTAATAATCATTGATCATAATAATCATCATCATCATCATCATCATCATCATCATCATCATCACCATCCTCTATTAATTTCTCTAATGTATTTCACATCTAGCCAATATCTCCTTCTTGTGTCTATAGATTAAAATTTTTAAATCCCACCCCACTAAAAACCATATTCTGCGCTAGAACATGGAGGCAACCATACTTATATTTATGCAGCGCAGTGAGTAAATGGTCCCCTATTGTGAACATTACAAATCCAATCTTGTAGTACAACCTGATATTACATCCTGTAATACAATGAGCCTGTTTAGCATGCACTTTTGGAATACCTACCGTACATGTATCTTCTAGTGTAACTTATGCAATGCAGAGTACTGGAGCTGCTCAATTTGTATGCAGATCGAACTCTTCCCGTGAAGCATTCCCATTATTGCAGCAGAACTCAGAGCAAATTTATCTAAAAGGATGTGAAGTAGAACTAATCTAATCCTTGCAGCAGTGAACTTGATGGGAAAGTTGATAGGAGGCATCTATCAATAACCACTCAACACAGACCCCTCGCTCTGTCTTTATCATAGACATGGTTTGCAGGACAGGACTGGTAGATAAGAGGGCAATTGCCCACAAGTAATGAATGAACACAGTGACTAAGAACAACAGCCATCTCTCTCGTGTGCTACTTTGCTACATGCAAGCCATTACCTTTCCAGTAGGGCATTCAGAGTGGATAAATATGTTGTTGTGTGCTTTCAAGACCTTTCCGACTTATGACGACCCTAAAGTGAACTTATCATGGGGTTTTCTTGGCAAGATTTCTTCCGAGGAGGTTTGCCTTCCCCTGAGGCTGAGAGAGTGTGACTTACCCAAGGTCTCCCAGTGGGTTTCATGGCCAAGCGGGGAACCAAACCTCGGTCTCCAGAGTTGCAGTCCAACATTCAAGCCATTATGGACGTTATCCAGAAAGCGATAATAAAGTGGAAATGAGGCATTCCGAAAATAAACC